CATAGAAAGAAGTTTCAACAATAATGAAGTAAATTTAACAATTAGTAACAGAATAAATTTGAACCAAGTGTGAACGAATAAGTGTAAGACAAATTTAAAAATAATGGATCAATAATGTGTAAAAGATTTAAAAACCCGTTTGATCTTATATCAGGGAGGGGTGGGTGTATGTGTGGTTGAGATTCGATTGAAGTGATAGTGCATCTTATCATATGGGTTAACATCGTAGAGTATTGTCTTCTTATTATGACCATGTTCAACATATCGTATCAAACTCACATTGATAGGGGGGGTCTTTATTACTTTCTTTGATGGAGATTAAAACGACATTGTACGATGAATCTAAAAGTCTAAATGTTTGTGTTAAATCTTAATTATAGGTTGTGATTATGTTAAGTGAATTATATCATATCATATTATATTGAACTGTGAATCTAATCATATTGAAATTATGATTATGATAGTTAATTATATTATATCATACCATACTGTATTGTAGATAATTATAAAATGATAAATGAATTATATAGTAATGTATCGTATTCTACCATGAATCTTATCATATTGAAATTGTGATTGTGATAGTTAATTGTATTGTGTTATACAGTACCCTATCGTAAATAATTAGAAAGTAATAAGTGAATTATATAATATCGTACTGTGAAATCAATCATACTAAAATTGTGATTCTGGTAGTTAATTGTATTGTATCGTGTCCCACCATATCATAGATAATTAGAAGATAATAGGTGACTCGTATCATACCGCATTATACCTAATGAGAAGTAATTGTATTGAAACCTATTTATGTATAGCATAAAATACTATATGATCATTGTGGATTGTGAGAAGAGAAAAGTATAAAATGTTATATCATTATTATAGATTATGAGAAGGGAAAAAATTCAAATGAGATAAAAAAACAATGATAACTGAGATCGTTAGATCAAAGACTAAACATGTTGAGCTAAAAGTAGTAAATTAGTGGAGCATAGATAATTGTTACTTGGAGAATTTTCTCAAAATATATATCCCACATATGTGCTAAGGAGAGACGTAAGGGAGTTTATATGTACTTCATTCAGTTCTATAAATTAGAGTTTTTATTATTCTTTTTACGCATGTGTTAACCCATTCCATTCATTATTTTCAAAACAAGAGAACCAAGAACTAAAACTCAGATCAACTGAAATAGTAAAGAGACGAAAGGAGTACAGAGTCTGTGATGACTTCTATTCCTGTTGATTCAATATACTAAACACTAAATTTTCTATTTGATTCTTTTTTAGACTAGAGAACCCTTATTTTATTTTTCAATGTTTTAAGATTTCATTGGCACACAGGGGATGATAATGTTAACAATGGTGGAATTAATATCATTTTTATCTATGAGATTTAGTTTCTATAAATGGCTAAAAGGAAAGGACGCTCTGACTCCACTTAGAGTCCGAGTTGTTATATATAGAGTTAAAATAATTTATGCAATAGGCTTTAAAATTTTTACCTAATTAGAGTTGAATAATTACATGATTCAATTTTATTGATCTAGCTTGATTTTGTAAATATTATGTATATATTATGAGAAATATTTTGGGAGGCAACTATAGTACTTTATTTATATAAGAGTTTACAATTCTATTGGTGATGTATTCTTAATTTTTATTATAATAGAAAGTTTTTTTTTTTTCGATCTTACCTGTTGATGCAAACATATTTGTTGAACCACATTAAATCTTATAACTTTTTTTTATTTTACTTTTATTTTGTGCAATTATTTGTATTTTAAAAATTTATTTTCTCAACAGATTTTTATTTATATGATTTATTATTAATTTATATAAAATTCAATTAATTTTCTGGGTAATCGAACAATCAATTGTATAATTTCAAGAACCATTAAAAAAAAAGCCCCATTAACCTTTTCATCTCAGTTACATTTAAAACTAGTGTATTTGTTCATATACTATCTTATTCAGCCCATTTAGTTTTCAACTAAAGAGAAGCTTGGGTGCGCACATCGTAGACCTGCAACGACATCGTTTCACTGCAAAGTAAAGAACCCGATTATTTGAAAGAGCACGAAATGCGCACAGTGGAAGGAAGCCCCCTCAGAGTGAGAGCTTCTTGACGTATCGCATGCAGGGGGATGGGAATCTGGTGGGCTCGTCGACATCTATAATAACGAAAAGAAAGATAGCTAACCTACGTTGTGATCTTCAAACGGAATCTTAACCATACGACCTAAGTTGGATGCACAAGATCGATGAAGAATTGAAATACCGGAAAAGAGTTTGGAGATGTATCTGAATTCGTTGCAGCAGTTTTGTTTAACTGGAAGGGAGGGAAAGGTTATTCGGCGTTGAATCGGTGTGAATAACATTAGATGCTCGAGGTTGAAGAGGCCAAATTCTAGGGTTTAAAGTGGAGAGCTCGAAAGAGAGGAGGTTGTTTTTCCCCGAGGGTTTCAGGTTTACAAAGAAAGACGGACTCAGACGTTGAGCTTAGAGAAGGCAAAAAAACTGAGGGCTGAAATCATAGGAAAGAGGAGAGAGAGCTGAAATTGAGAAGAAAATTCGAGAAGCAGCTGCAATTTAAAGGAGAGACTGTTCTGACGGAGAAAGCCGATTGAGGGAAGAGGTTTCTGAGTACTGTTCATTCGCGAATATCAGCAGCAGCGTTCTTCATGTACGATTGACTTTTAGAACTGTAGTATTACTCTTTCTTCGCGATTTGTGTGGTTAGATCTCTCTGTCTGTTATGAGATCTGCATGTGGCTTTCTGTTGTATATAATGGTTTGGACCAGTTGGTTGAGGTTACCTGTTAGTAGTCTCACTGTACCTGGGTCATATATACTTGTTTGTTAAAGCAGTGGCAATACATTTAGCTCTATACCTTGAGATGAAGAGTTTTACATCTCTTTCATGAAACTTTTCATTCAGTTTGATTGAGATCTTTCTCTTTTCGTTATGTGTCTTAAGTTGGCAGTCAAGTGATGATTTCACATGTAGATTCTGGTGTTTATAGTTGCTTTCGAATGTGTATGTACGTCTTGCTTGTTTTGTGTTTGGGCATGAGTAATGTTTCTGACTTGGGGCATGTGAGTATATCTTGTTTGTTTGATGGTTGCCCTTTTTTGTTTGGGAAGGAACTTGGAGGGTCGCACTCTCACCATTGGTACCTTGAGAAGAAGATGTGTTTGTGTGACAATAACTCTCCTAATCATTTCTTCTTGTGGTGCTCGGAGGGGAGAAGATTGGAGGGCACTATTTATTTTGTTGAAAAGTCATCATTTTCTTCATTTTGGAGAGAGGATCTGGGGGCTTTTAATAGGCTGATCCGTCCTTGTAATATTCTTGCTTGTGTGCTCAGGTTTGCAGCCCCGTGATGCCTTTTGTCAATAATATCTTTTTTTTTTTATTCTATTAAATAAAGTTCTGGCTTGATGATTTTGTTGGAATTTACAAAATAGTTGGCCTTCTTCCATGGATTTTTACTTGGTGCCATCTGTAAGTTTATCTGATTAGACCTTTTTCTCAAGAAAAATCATTAATGTTAATTAGCTGTCTTTAGTTATAAAATTAGCTATAATGTAGTCAGTTAATCTCTTGCTTGTTCATTTTTTTTTAAACTGCTTCCTTGGATTTCAGTTCAAATAATTCAAGTAAACTGAGAGTTGTAAAATTCATATCCTAACCTCCCCTCCTTCTACGTGAGTATTTTGGATGGTGTTCTTTGTGATCTTTTGTTTACTCCTTAACTTATTTTTTTACTAGGTTTTTGGGGTGAGTCAGTCTAGAAATTCAACTTGAGTTAATATGGCTTGATGAGATATTTTGATGTACTATTTACATTTGTTTAATTCTTTGCAGTTAGATATTGAAGCTCTCTTCTTTTTCATTCTTTACAGTATGTATTGAGTTATCGGAGTGATTGTGACACTTTCAAAGAACTGTAATTATTGGGTGTGACATTCCTTTTCCAATTCAGATTTGCAGGGTGAGAAAAGTTATAGCAACTGGTCTGTTCCTTTACGAATTTTGCTGTTTGTCCTTAACCCATACATATAGTTGTTATTGGTTTAGCTTGCTGGTTTAAGGAATGTTTGAAAGTGAGTTGATGGAAATTTATTCTCTTTCAGCTTCCAAGTTTTGTCTTGTGCGATACAAATTTTTCTGTTTTTAGTATTTCCTTTATTAATTAATTGAAATCTGATTTGTGTTTCAAAGATATGCTCTATTTTGAGGTGACTATGCATGATCAGATGCAAATGGAACCTTCCTAGGATGATGATCCTCCACTTTGCAATATATTTAATTTTGTCTCTCTGGTCATGGGTTAGAAGTAGTAGTATATTTTCTTATGCATTGACCTGTCCGTATTAGCTAGGACACAGTTAGTTTCGTTTTTAGGCTCACACTACAAGATTGATGTAGTACTTTTCCACTGTTTAATTTTCGAAACCTTGTTCTTTGTAAATAGACATTGTAATTGGTGTCTATCCCTACCACAAATATTGCGTTAGTGGCAATCTATTCTGCGATTATTTATTACTTGAAACTTCTTTTTTGGTAAGCCCTGAAGGCCATGTGAACCAGCATGGTTCTTAGGATCTATTTTTCTGGCGAAGCAATTTATTTTCTCTTTACTTCTTGACTTCTCAGCGACCAAACAGGGATTATAGCACCACAAGCATAATCCCTTTCTCTCTTCAAGGTCTCAAGAAAGATTTCATAGTTGCTAGAGTTCCTAATTTCCAGTGACAACGCTTGGAGGCCTATAATGCAGCAAGTGCAACAGTTACATCAGCAACAACTGCTGCCACCTCAGACGGCAGCCATGGTGAATTCTCAACAGGCTCCTGGAGGATCTTCATTGGAGGCACCACCCAAGCAGGTGGCACTGGCAATGGAACGGCTGGGACAAGCAGCTAGGCACATTGCAGACATCCGGCTCGGTGCTGATCGACTTCTTGAGGCTCTGTTTGTTACAGCTCAGCCTCACCATAGCACCAAGCCGCACAACGTCTTCCTCAAAGAAGATGCCTCCATGCGCCAGCACCTCCAGGACCTCCGCACCATTGGTATAAATACTGCCATTTTTATATGCTCTTGTACATATATGGATTTATGTATATGCGCACACATACATATGTCCATACAGTATATATTGATCCGTTTGCTGAACATTTATTTATAATTTATGGAATAAAGTGTTTTTATCAAATGATAGTGCAGAATGATTGTAGTATTGCAGGTGTCTGCATGTGAGTTGAGTTTATTTTTTGCAAGTGTAGTGATTTGGTGTTGATGACATTGATTTAAATCTATCAACTATGGTTAGGAAGGCAGCTAGAGGAATCAGGGGTGCTAAATGAGTCTCTTCGTTCACGAAGTAATTCATGGGGTCTGCACATGCCACTGGTGTGTCCAGATGGTGCAGTTGTTGCCTATGCATGGAAGAGGCAACTTGCTGGGCAGGCTGGTGCTTCTGCTGTGGACAGGACTAGGTTTGTTTGGGAATCCTATTTATTGCTGTTGACTTTTTTCCTCTTTTTTTAAAAGAAAAAATTTAATTCATTGCACTTTGTTGAAATTGAATCTGCATATTAACTATAGTTGTTGACGTATTTGCTGGAGATTATGGGTTAACAGATTCGTTGAAATTGAATCTTCATAAGCTTGTATTAAGTGGCAACATGTCTCTCATTCTGTTGTAAGGACATTAAATATGTGTATGTATATTGTTTATATTGTTGCGTTATCCATGTATTTATGTCTGGATTATTTCTATCAATTTTCATTTTGCATGAATTGGATTAACATGCTGGTGAATTGGGTCATTGTTGGTTTGGTGAGGGGTGAGATTTGGGCTTGGGATGGTCTAAATGTAAAAATAAGTTAGCTAATGTGATTCCTTTAACGGTTTTTTGGATTTTATGGAAAGAAAAGAATAGTAGAGCTTTTGAGGGTGAGAAAAATAGTTTTTCTAGGCTAAAAGATAGGTGGCTGAATTATTTTGGGTCTATTTTATTAGGTCATGACATTATTAGTAATGGATTTTGGAAATGTCATTGAGACACCAATTTTATTATAAATATTTTATACATGGGTGGTACTCCCGTTTTGTTAGTACATTTTTAATATACACCTTAGTTTTTATTTTTTTTTAAAAAGGCAACCATCATATATTTAATTTTTAAAAAAATTTTACCTACTTTAGTAGATTTAAAAGCTATGTTTAGATTTGGAGAGTTTTAGCTCCAGAACCGCAGTATGTCACATGTCTCTTATATATTAGAATTTCTATATGCTGTGACTAGAGAAGTGAATCTTGTGCCAAAATAAAATGAGGCAATATTAATATCTTTGACCAGGGCTTTTCCAGATCTTATGATGTCAATACTACATTTATCTCTGTGTATATATATTCTTATACTTTTCTTTTGACAAAAAAGAGAATTTATGTGTATAGGTCCTCTCAGTTTTCCGTTTAGCTGATAAATATTCTTAGATGATGCTTATACAATTGATGCTGTTGACATGTATACTTCATCATAAAAAGGTCCTGCTAAATGGATAAGATGTTTTAAAATTTTTATGTCATTGCCTCCTGATGGTTATCAGGTAGCACTTTCAATGCTGATGCACCCATTTAGTGTTTGAAAATCAGATACTCTGGAAGGCCATTAACATGTTCTCCTGATTTTTTTTTTTCAAATGACATGTTCTCCTGAATGACTATAGGCTGGCTCTCAAGGCCTTCACAGATCAGAAAAGGCGATTTTTTCCTCACCTTGATGATAGATTGACTGGTCAAAATAATGATTTGGTGTCAAAAAAACATTGTGGTTTGCAAGTGCTACCAGAAAATAACCAAGATGAGCTTACTGATTGCAAAACGTTATCATACATCCTTGCACACTTGGAGAAAGAGGTGTCAAATCTGAAGGTTTCAACTTATGAGCGCCTGGATTGGTTGAAAAGAGCTTCTATGCTGCCTGGTTCAGTGGATGAGACTCCTATGGAAACACCAAAACATAGTTTTCACAGTCCAATGAAACTAAGACTAGGATCACAAAATGCAGTTGCTGCAGATAAGATTGCTGTAATTGAGTTGGTTTTTCCTTCTGTATTTAGAGCTGTAATCTCATTACATCCAGCTGGTTCTATTGACCCAGATGCAGTATCTTTCTTTTCCCCAGATGAGGTAAGTTTGGTTACATGATATAGGTTCTTCCAATTCTCAAAATTTTCTTATCTTCTGGTTGAATTCTTTTCAGAGTCAGTGTCATTTTGTTGCCTTTTATCTATCAATGTTGAAGTTTTATCTTGTACCCATATAAACTTCGTCATCTGCTTAAGAAAGAAATAATAGTGCCTTACATGAAGCTTAGGTTGTTAAAGATGTGATGGAGGACTCGCATTTGCTTACTGGAGTAAGAACGTACTTCTGTCTTTTGGAATTATAAGACATGAGCTAAACTAAGTTCCGATGGGTAGTCCTATTTTGCTGATTTCATTGTTCTTCAAGTGTCATTTAAATTGCTTGAATTTCTGAAGTGCAATGTTATCACGCTTATATGTTGCTCAAATACTTTTGACTTGTTAATTAATCAAAAGTTGCTCGATTACATGATTACTTTGTTATCACACTTATAGAGCAAATGCCGTTTAGTTTCTTCTCTAACTGACCAATGATGTCCTTTTCGCTGGTGACTGGTAAAATTGGACACGTCCTCATAATTGATTTTCTCTCGAAAAGATTCATCATCCCATAATTTACAAGCCATATTTATGAAAGCTCAAGTCTCCAGCTGGGCATTTCTCTTGGTGGAGCTGTTTCTCTCTTTTTCTGGGCATGCCTGTGTGAGGGTGAATGATTTGGCTTTTTTCCTTAATTGTTAATTTTGCTCTAAAGTTTTCCTGACTCATTCAAGTACTATCTACTTTTCAATAGGAACTGAACAGAAGTAATATTTGGCTTTTTAACTTCATTACTTTCTGGAACAGAATTTTGTAATGTAAAAAATATGATGTCGTTTTACTTTGAGCCCTCTGTGATCTTTTGAATTATAGTAGCACAATTACAAATAACTGTTCCTCTATTTACAAAAGCAAATGAAGTGATATTGTTGAAAATTAGATAGTTCTTTGGGTATTGCTTGGGAAATAGGATTTTAAGCTACTACAGAGGGAGGGTTCAAAAGCATATACCTCACGTTAGATGTGACTTGTTGAGTGGGTTAAGATTTATTTCTATTTTTTACATGAGCAGTTATTTGGTTACTTTGTGGTTTCTAATATACTAGTTTGTTTTCCAGAGAGACTGATAGCATAACATGTTAGAACTCATACATGCAATTGCTTCTAACAGGGAGGGAGCTATATACATGCAAGGGGATTTTCAGTTTACCATGTATTTAAGCATATTACTGTAAGAATGCCCATTGCTCATATTTTGCGGTTTCTAATTTCGTGGCTAATCAGTTTAAATTTTGAAAATTTGAAGGTTTTTTTAATAAATTTTTTGCATTATTGCAGGAGCATGCTGCTATGGCCTTGCAATATTTCCTTGGCGCCAGGACTGAAACAGCTCTCAGTTCCCTTTTGGTACTATCTCCATAACTTATCTTTGGTTTGGTTTAGTTTGTTCATTTTAATTCCGGTGATTCATCCAACAAAATTTTGAGTATTTAAATTTGTGTCTTTCCTTGTAGCGCTGGATCTGCAGCTATCAAAGTCTTTTTAATAAACCTTGCAGGTGGAATCATCTTCTCTTAACTTTATGAATTTCTCGACTTTATGAGTTTCTTCAGTCAGGTTGAGGCACTATTGTAATTGCAATTTTTTGTTGGTGCAGCAAGTGTGGTCGGCTACTAGCAATGGACAGAAAATCCGCCTTGCTTTTGCCCCCCGTCTATCGTCATTACCGCGACTTTTCTATGTCAAAAACCTCACCAGGCCAACCCTTTTCTTCTGCTGAGGATCAGAGTTTGGAGGCACCTGGAGCTTATCATGTTGGTTGCTTTTCAGAAGAAACATAGCTGCATCCATTAGCCATGCTATTAATATGTCCTCAATGCTCTTCAGGTAGGTGAGAAAATTGAAAGTTTAGAAGAAATAGAATTCTTAGAGCCGTAACCTTGGGATGTTTCTCTATCTTCTTTTTTTTTTTTTTTCTGAAAGAAAAATCTTTGGCTAGTTGTAAATCGCTCGCTAGATTGCTGTCATGTAAAATAATTGTTTTCTTTTGCAAATTGAATTTTAATATTTGTGTTTGAATATTTTCTTCAAAAGAAGAAGTAGATGTTAAAGATAATGGAAACATGTACTCATGTAGTTTTCTAGTTGTGTTGTCTTCCCTAGCTTTGCCACTTCGGTTGTGAGCAGTGATGAAATGGTACTTGGATTTCCTTCTTCGTTTTGTATATTCCATTGGATTAATACTTCAAAAAAGAAAAAGGATTCAAAAATTATTAAATTAGATGAAATCATTAGATTTGGATTTTACTTACAAATCAATTCTAAATTTTTTCTTGATTAAAATGAACAGAGCTAAGTTGGTTTTGTCAATTTAAGTTTTTCATTCGCGTAAGATAATATACACCTTTGTCATTGGATGCTAAGTTTATATTCAAACCTCATCCTTAATTATTATTGTATTTACTGTGGATTTCGTTTACAGTCTCACATTCTTAGTAGTAAAAAGTATATCAATACAGGCTGAATTCTCAGGATGGATGGTCAAGTACATCCTATTTTTTTAAAATGTCCAACTATAATTCTTGTAGTGCTTCCAATGATTTCCATTTGGAAGAAATTAGTTGTGCTGTCATGCATGAGCTCTTTCAACTGAGTGCATAAGTCGTTACATTTTCTTTGTTCGAATGATGCAAAATTTTGCAATTATAATTTTTTAGATATTTATTCATATTCATTAACACATATTGAGTTTTCTTTGGTGTAAATAAATATTTTATACTTTTTAAGATCGGTACAAATTTTAAAAGTTTTACCGTGTTTATTATGTTTTACTCGACTCTTAGAATAAATTAAGATGTCATCTATGAATATAATAATGAAATGGTACAGAAAAAGTTTAAATCTTCTATCCATCAGATTCATAAAAATTATAGATACATTTGTTAGTTCAAAAAATATGATTCAAAATTCATTCTTGTCATATTTTATTCGAAAGTTTGTCTTAGTAATGTCTTCTACTTTGATTTTCACTTGGTGATAACCGAATCATAAATTAATTTTGAAAAATACTTGAGCACTTTGTACTTAATCGAAGAGATTATTTATCCTCAATATACATGCATTTGCTATTACGAATTTACTACATCATGTGTGCTGTTAGAAGTAGTTTATATTTTATTTCTAATTTTATCAGAATAATATGCCTCAAGAAAAATGATCTAATAATGATCATGCTAAAATTATACTAAAATATCATAATTATGCAAGTGGGATTTTTGGGACTATTACAAATGTTGACAAGATGGAGAAGTCAGTCTTTGAGCTGTATATATACTACACGAGCAATATATGTATACATATACGTATATTCTGATATAGAACGTGTACTCAATTTGGTTGTGGAAAAGTCATTGCTTGAGCTGTCTATATACACACACAAGCGCGTGCACAAACAATGTATATATACATATATATATATATATATATTCTCTGATTATATCAATTTGGTTGTCAAGAAAAAGGGTTAAAACAAAGAATGTTGACTGGGTGCAACTAGCGAACAACGTAGCTAAAATATTTGTAAGACGTGGGTAGATATTTTCTTGGTCAAAGCAGAATCTTAGGCTTTCTTGTAATTTCAGTTTGTCACCATTAATAGTATCTGCAGAACTCACTGGGCATTCAGATTATGTAAAGGGATTATTAGTCTTCTTCTTCATCTTAATTAATTTTAAATTTACTTAAAAACCTATTGTTTTACCACTTTGAATTCACCTTTATTTTATATATATATATATTAGAAGATAATTTGAAAGTATCAATATTTATGATTAAATATTAATTACGTATATTTGGCAAACAATAGTTTATATATGATGTGACAATTATTAATTAAATTAATAAGACGATAGTTTTGATAGTTACACATCATAATAAAAATATTAATAAAAAAATAAGATAAAATATCGAATTTTGCTTCCTATAAGTAATAATCTTTGGACATTTTAAATTCCTTTTTTTTTTTTTTCTTCTGTTAAAATTAATAATGCTAGCATATATGGAAAAATTTAGAAAATTCAAAGCATTATATGTAAGAAAAATGCAAAAACTAAAATAATAATTTGACCAAAAATGACAGAAAAAAACAACTTTGAATAACTATACCTCAAAATTTTGAAAACAAATATTTACAAGGTTTTATAATTAGACTAATCATATTTTTAGTTTTACAATTATGAGTCATTATATAATATAATTCAATAAATATTTTTTCACAATTTAATTTCTGAATTCATATATCTGTTTTTCTGTTTTTTTTTTTTTTATATTATTACTCTTTAGACCAAAAGAATAGTGATTACTTGTGTCTTATTTAAGTTATTTTTTTTTATACTAATTGATAAAGAATATTACTATATTAATCTTTTGATTTAGTTTATTAAAGTAAACGTTCTTTTCAATCAATTTATGAATTAATAATTATACTACATTTATTGAATTATATTAATTTAGTAATCATAAGGGAATAAAATGTGTATGTCATATTTAATCAAGTTGTATTAATATATAATCTAAAGGACTCATATATTTTTTACTTCATAAAAGATAGGTAAAATGGACCAAAATTTCTAAAATTGTACACCACGTGTAGATTCAATTAAGTCATTTACAATCAAATATTAAATTAATTAAACAATAAAAATTTTGAATTAACTTATTTAATATGAAATTTATGTATTATAATATATATACGATACATATTCTATTTATATAAATTTATCGATTTATGTATTGAATTAATCAAATAAGTTAATTTTTTAAAATATATATATATATATATATAGTACAGACATACTTAATATATCTAAACGAATGAATTTATTACTGACTCATTTAACTCTGACTTGACTCATTTAACTTTTAACTAATTTTATTCTCTATAATATTATTAGTACTTAAAGAGATCTAACCCTTTTCCATTTCTCTCCTTGCTTATCCTCTCTCGTTATGAGCAATGTTGTCCATAAATCTTCGATGATTGTTAAATTCTTATGTAATTACTTTTTTCCCTCGAGCTTCTTCATTTTAGTTTCTCGACTAACCAGAATCTTCATGTTAATTTGCTCAATTTCCTTGGAGAACCTTTACATAGCACATTTTACTATTTCAAAGCCAATTTGATGCAAGAATGATTATTAATAATGTGTTTGTTTTAATATCATTGTGAATTTCACCATGTTTCAATAATTTTTTATTGCTTGTGTGATAATCCAGAATACTCCTAAGTTAAGTTCTTGTATTTGTCATCTTTAAATAAGTACGTGTGTTTAGAAATGTGTAGTAAGCTTAATGACCTAATCTTGAGTCAAATGGAGAGAAAATGGTGAAATTAGGGAAAAGGAAACCCTTTAGAGAGAGAATTTCTCCTCAAGGTGAAAATTGAGTTTTGTCGACCCAAAAATGCTTTTCAAGGTTAAAATAATGCCATAGAAGGTAGTAAAGTACTTCGGAAGTACATATAAATACTCGAATTGAAAATTGAGAGAAAAATCCCTTTTGTGAGGGAAAAGATCCCTCAAATGAAGGAGAAAAATTCCCCAAGTAAGGGAAAATGACCTTTCAAGCTTGAAACGTTTCCTGAGCCTTCAATTAGTGGAATTTTAAGTTGCAATTTTAGAGAATACTAGCTAATATATAGGGAATGAAAGTTGTGAAGAGAGAAAAATTTTAAAAAGGCAAAAAGAAAAACCAAAACCCAAGAAGTGGGAAAAAAAATTTCCTTGAAAATTCCTAATTGATCATTTCAGCTTGATTTGTGTCTCGAGACCAAAATACATGGAATTTGAGGCTCAAATTTTATTAAGGACTAGCCAAGACATAGAGGAAGAAGTGTGTGGAAAGAGAAAAATATGCATAAAAGAAAATTTGGGAGAAATAAGCCCAAACTCGTGAGGCATGTAAACAAAAAGCATTTTTTTATATTTTAGGCTTGTACAACACATAAGTGGATCAAATGAACTCAAATTAAGCCTAAACCAAAACCATGTTCTACTTGAAGAACACATGACGCATAAGTTTGCCCAAAATGATTGTTGAGCAGGTTATGGGATTTTGAATTAAAGGCATGGGCATGGGCTTATCTTAACTCACAGTTTGGATATTTTAAGTTTGTAATAGGCCTTAATTGGGCCAAATATGGTTGGATTAAACCCAAATTTAGTGGGCAAATAACTAAAACTGCGAAGATCATGGAAAAGTAAAATGGGTTAAGAAATCCTAAGGATCAAGGGAATATAACTGCTTGAAATGAATGTAAGTTCATATGGGGCCTAATGGGTTTACATGGGCCTAAAGTAGCCCAAATCAGCTCCAAATGATCCAAATTTTGCATGAAAGCACCTAAAATGAGAGTAAAATGGTTTGAGTTTGGATAAATTTGAAAGCCTCTAGAGTGAAAAAAAAAACTTTAAGGATAATGCATTACAGTTTAAGGTGCAAAAATCTTGCATCAGTTAAGAAGTTTAAGATGAGAAAATTCCCATATAAGTTAGGGAGTTTAGAGTGACAAAACTCCCACATAAATTAGGAAGTTTAAAGTGACAAAAGTCCTGCATCAATTAGGTAACCAACAACCTTGGCTCCCTTTTGTTATAAATAAGGGATGAGGGAAATAGGGAGAGGCATAATTAGGAAGAGAAGAAGAGAATACGAGAATAAGAGAGAAAAAGAGGAAAGAAACTCTCAAAGGTAACACTTGAGCTTGAGATATTGCTAAAAAATATTCAAGAACTCTACCAAATTTCTGGGTGAAAAAGATAAAAAATTAAACTAAAACTCTACTGGAATCAAAGTTGAATGTACTTTTAAGGAAATTAGAGTTTTCATTAGGGGAAACTCTATTTGCGTAAGTAGAGGAACTTAGAGCTTTTATAGGGGGAGACTATATAGAAAGTGAGCTGAGGAGTATAGAGGTTGTATAAGAGGATAATCTGCCTCAGTCTAAGTTTGAATAAGGCTTGAGGTAAGTTGATATTGTGATTGCATTAATATATGTAGTTTTAACGTAATTTCAGTTTATGTATGTATATATGAATTTGTGATCCCATTTACACCTATATTGATGATGATTGATTCAAGCCTGTTATGTTTTCATTGAGATTGTGATAATATGATTTTAATGATGGATTTGATTTTGAGGGTGCATTGCCTATCATGGGGAGGGTGCTCTGCTCCCACCTATAGTAATCATATTGGTATAGTAAACCTATAAGATGAGCTGGGGGATCTATACGAGCAACACAATAAACCTAGACAATGAGTCGGGGGGGTCTGTTCTAGCTATGCTTAGTTACTATGATTTTGTGTGAAGGTATGTAGTGAACCCAATTGACGATGTGGGGGATCTGTAGGAGATGGGTGCTTGGCCAACAATGATTTGGGGGTATTAATGGGCCTATATGCTACCATGTGATGAGTAAGGGATATGCGATAAGAGGTGGAGCCTAGGCATGTCATAACATATGGAAGTGGGTGATTGGACCTCTATAATAAGGATGACACTTGTTGTTCATTATTCAATGTAGCGCTATGATTTTGATAATGATTTTGTGGATTTAATATGATGAATTGTATATAATATATAGATTTGTTGTCTGTAAAGATATATATATATATATATTGCATGTGTTAAGTTGTGTAGTTACAGTGTCTACTTAATAGGATTTATGAATTTCACCCCTTATCATTTTTTAAATATCGAAGAGAATGTCGTAGAGTAGACGATAGTTTCAAGAAGAAGTTTTTTAGAAGTTAAATCAATGTTACTCCTTTGTTTTGTACTTTTAGGTTGCAATATAAAGAAAGAAAAATTTTAGAGTCTCGCATTTTGTAATTAATTATACAATGCTCAAAGAATGTAGCACTTCTACATATTTATGAATTAATATAATAATGTACTTTTGTTTAAATTAAGTGTTATGCTCCTTTTGTGCCTTGAAGAGAGGCAGAAACCATAATTAAGTTGTGTACAAAATTTTTAGCTTATCAAATTGATGAGTGATAGAAATAGAAGATTGTGAGTTTTTAATGATTAGAGCAATATAGAATTTAAACATCTAAATTGACTATTAAAAATTTTACTTTATTTAAAAAAAGAACGATAACAATTAAAATAAAAATTATTCTTATTTTTTAGACAAATAGAAATTTTTTTTAATATGTTTATTTTAGTTATTACAATTATTTTACTTCTTGTTTTGAATTTCATAAAAAAAGTATTAAAACTGTTGTTTGAGTCAATTTGTATTATTATATTATTATTAGTATAAAAATTTTACAAAAAAAAATAGCATAAAAATAATTTTCATATGCTTAAAACTAATTATTACAACAATTTTGCTTATATTTTAAATTTTATAAAAAATTTATTAATAAATATTTTTATTTTTTTTAATATAAATATGAATTCGAGTTAAATTATTTGATCTGGTTCTATTAATACAAAAGTTTTTAGTTAGGAAATAAGCTCAAAGATAATTTTCATATGTCTAAAATTAATTATTACAATAATTTTGTTGGTTTTTCTAAATAACAAATCATTATACGATCTGAAAATGCCAACGCCCAGGTCCAGCTGTGCCCCCAATTTTATTATACTTACTAAATTTTTATTAAAAGTACAATTACGGTATTACCATAATACCCCTTATACCCACCACAAAAAAAAAAAAAAAAAAAAAACACATTGTCCCAATTCCCAAACACGTCGTCTGACCAGTCAACCATTTGTTGCCTTGTAAGAATCTAACACCATTGACCTTGACAGTACTTACCACTTAACCTATTTTGAGTATTAATTTTAATTATTTATAACCATTAAACTTGTTTTGACTATTAATTTTAATTATTATTTGGTATTTTGACTGAAAATATTAATGACTTTGTATTTATAAATTAAAATTCCAAACAAACCGCGGCTTGGTAAATCTGTAAATATCTTTACTACTGGGGGTAAAATTGTGATAAGAAAAGCATAGCGTGACTGAGCAATCCTCTTCTTTGCCTCCTCCGCTTCACTCTCTCATTCTTTCTCTCTCTGCAAGACCCAGTCTGCGAATGGCAACAGAAATACCTAATATACAATGCTCAGAGGATTCATAAATTTGTGAAATTAAATTCAGCTGCTTTCTCTTGTTGGCTGTAATGGGTGGTAATGGAAAGCACAGATGGAAAATTTCCTTCCATCATCGCTCTTCCTCTACATCCAATTCCAAGCACAAACATAATCAACCTCAACCCCCAAAAGAATTCATTTGCCCCATTTCTGGAACTTTGATGTCTGACCCGGTTGTCGTTCCCTCTGGTCAAACTTTTGAGCGGGTCTCTGTTCAAGTTTGCCGTGAATTGGGAATCGTGCCCGCTTTGGAAGACGGATCCCGACCCGATTTCTCCGCCGTCTTCCCTAACCGAGCTATTAAGTCAACCATTGTCAGTTGGTGCGACAGTACTGGTACGGAGCAGCCGAAGCCACCTGATTACGAGTTCGTTGCGAATATTGTCCGTACACAGATGAAATCCGATCCAGAAATTAGGGTTTCGGAGCGGGAGCTGTTGCAGGGAGTTGCAGAAAACCCGCCGGTGATATTCTCACATGCGGCAACTGAGTTAGGTCACCGAGTCAATCATTTCTACTCGAGCTCTTCCGAGGAATCTGTCATCGTCGCGCCTAGTCCACTTACACCTCTGCCTCTCGCGACTCGCCCTGCGTGTTTCTCTTCCTCTTTATCGTCCTCGTCTTCCTCTGAGACCACTGAAGCTGAAACCCTGACCCAAAATCCTAGCTTTTCCTCGTCTTCCTCTTCTCCCGAGGAAGAAGAAATCTACAGTAGGATACGTAGCACGGACATATACGATCAAGAACAAGCCGTGATTTCACTGAGGAGGATGACGAGAAACAAGGAGGAAGCTAGAATTTCTCTCTGCACGCCTCGCTTACTCTTAGCCCTCCGACCTCTGATTACGTCAAGGTACTGTGTGGTGCAGACAAACGCCATAGCTTCACTGGTGAATTTGTCGCTGGAGAAGCAAAATAAGGTAACAATTGTACGTTCTGGATTCGTTCCTTTGTTGATTGATGCGTTGAAAGCTGGTTCTAGCGAGGCGCAGGAGCACGCAGCTGGTGCTCTCTTCAGTTTAGCTCTGGAAGACGATAACAAGATGGCGATGGGGGTTATGGGCGCGTTGCAGCCGTTACTTCACGCGCTCCGATCCGACAGTGAGCCGACTCGGCAAGACTCGGGCCTGGCTCTGTACCACCTCTCATTAATCCATGGCAATAGAGTGAAGCTGGTGAAACTCGGAGCCGTGACGACTATGCTGTCGATGGTGAAATCGGCCGAGTCAGCGAGTCGAGTGCTACTGATTTTGTGCAACTTGGCGTCGTGCGATGAGGGCAGGTCAGCAATGCTGGATGCGAACGCGGTGGCGATACTGGTGGGAAAATTGAGGGAGTGTGAGTCAGACTCGGAGGCAACTCGTGAGAGCTGCGTGGCGGCGTTATTTGCCCTGAGTCACCGGAGCTTGAGGTTTAAAGGATTGGCAAAAGAAGCGCGAGCCATGGAGGTGCTGAAGGAAGTGGAGGAGAAAGGTAGCGAGAGAGCTAGAGAGAAAGCCAAGAGGATCTTGCAGATGATGAAAGGAAGAGAGGAAGGAGACGACGAAGACGTCGGCCATTGGACGTCTGTGCTGGACTCTGGAGGACTGAGTCGAACTCGGTGCCGAGTTGGTGTGAGATCGAACGGTCCAAATTCCACTAATTTTTAGTTTTTACTTTTGTTTTTAACTTTTTTTTTTTCCTATTTTGCCCTTTTCTTTTCTGCATAGGATAGAATGTAAATGTAGGGAGGATTTTGATTTCAGCTACCGAGTTGGACTCGGTGGTGGGTTGTGTAAATTAATTTATTAGTGGGGAGGAATGTCGAAAGACAATATTCTGATGGGGTGTTTTTGTAAAAAAGAAATTATTTTTGTATGAAATAAATTAAAAGAGAAAAAACACAAAGACAGAAATAGCAGTAAGTGGGTGCTAGTTGTTAGGGCGTTGGCCTAATGAACCTGTCGGATATATAATTTCCTGGAATCCAAAACGGTTGCGTTTAAGTAACTTTTCAATCAGTTAAAACGTCACTGTATTTATCTTGGATTATATTCTTTCTGGGCATCCAAAACGGTTGCGTTTAAGTACCTTTTCCAGCAGTGTAAACGTCGCCGTACTTGGCTTGGGTTGAAACGAGAAGAAGAATGAAGAGCCGCAAAAGAAAGCAGCTTCAATCCCAAATCGATCCCAACAAAACCACCACCGATAATGCAGAGCCTTACCCTGATCATCCCCTTCCCACTCCTCAAGACTGTCAAGCCGTAATGGATTCCCTCTTCTCTCTCCATGGCTTTCCTCCGGAGTTCGCCAAGTACCGCTGCCAAAGATTAAAATCAATCTCCCCCGATTTGACGACTAAAATCTCTCCTCCTCCCATCAATGTTGGTTCCCAAGACGCTGTCAAATCACAAACCTCGGTTGAGCACGAGCACGAGGAGAGTGTTCTTGATGGGTTAGTGAAAACTGTGCTTTCGCAGAACACTACCGAGGTTAATTCCCAAAGGGCTTTTGCTTCCCTTCGAGCTGCTTTCCCAACATGGGATGATGTGAGTTTTTGCTTCTTTTGTATTGTTCTTGTCCTGATCGCTTAAGGACTACCTAATAAACAGAACAATCAGGGTAATTCGTCGACTTCATTTCATTGAATTATCACCAATATCGCGTGAACATTTTATGGTTTAATGAATATCAATGGATTAGAAGAAGGGCAGTGATTTTGGTTAAAATTTTCTGTAGCTTGCAAGTGCGCTGTGTATGGTTATTGGGAAGGAAGATGCTTGGGCTCTGTTTACTACGTGAAAATATTCTTTAGTTTTCATTTTTCTTCACTTCCATATATGTTAAACAGAAAGACATGTATAGATGTTGAAAATAAAAGCAAGTCTAGGAAGTGCCGATGACAATGTAGTTAATTTCTTGGACTGGCATTTTCGGTAACTGCATTGGTTGTGAATGGTTAATCTTTGTGTCCGTTCTAGGTTCTTGCTGCTGAACCAAAATCCATTGAGAATGCAATAAGATGTGGAGGCTTGGCCCCAACAAAGGCTTCTTGTATAAAAAATATACTAAGTTGCTTGCTTGAGAAAAAAGGCAAACTATGCTTGGAGTACCTGCGGGATTTGTCAGTGGATGAAATTAAGGTTGAGCTCTCGCATTTCAAAGGAATTGGTCCAAAAACGGTATTTTATTTCTTTTAAACCTCTAAACACTTCAAACACTTTTGTTTTTTCACTTTAAAATACATCCGACAGAAGTCTAAGAAGGCTTCTATAAAGATCAAGAACTACTTGTTTCCACTCAAGTAACTAACACTGGTAGGGCCATTCAAAACACTATGACTAAGCTGCAGTTTCTTTGTCACTCTCTACTTGTTTTTTTTTTCGGGAAAAGCTTTCTTAGTTTGCCTCCCAAGTTAATATACTTCATTAAACTTGTAAAACTCCTTTAAAACAGACGTGTTTTCTGCGAATTCTTTTTTATGTAGTCTTTTGGAGATTGCACATAGCAGTGTCTGAGCTTTATTCAAAGGGCAGCATCATTTGCAATCCTACGTTTGCATATGCATGATCCTAATGCAAAAAGAAGCTCTAGAAAAACCTTGTATAGCTTCTTCGATCTCTCAATGAAAAGAAATATGACCAACAGTGGTTTGAATTTATATACAAAGTATTTCTTTTTTTTGGGACTTATAACTATTAGATAATATCCATAAATTTCCTGAAAAGTACCCCTCACTTGGAAACACATCAATTTGCACCCACTTGGATACAGTCTAGTGCAGGATTTGTTCTTCAACAATAGAATAATTCTTCTCGGGCATTTGTCCAACACTCAACAGATTTTGATCAAGCTTAGACACTAACAATGCATAATAAATAGTTTTAGTACCTAATGGAATTGCCAAAGCTACATCTCCATTTCTTTGTACCTTCAAGTACTATCCATTGCCTAACTTGACCCTTGAGTTGTAGAATCCGTCAAGCTTCTGATATAGGCCTTAGTCTGATGGCTGCACCTCTGTCAATCAATCAAGCTTTTTGTTGCTTGAGCTGGTTGAGTAACATGTGGCAGCAAAGAGCTTTTCTTCCTGCTGTTTCTGATCTTCAGGTATTTGAGTCTACTGTTCCCCTTATATCTTCTTTAATTTGCAAACTTTTTGCACGTGTAGACCCTGTGCAAGACCTGCAACAGGCACCAAGTCTAAAACAATGGTACTTTTCTGTATGGTTGGTCTTTTGCAGTTTGGTCATGGACGGAAATCTGGTCTTCTTTTCTCCTTTCCTTTCATTTCCTTCTTGCTTTTCCTTCTCTCCAGCTGCCTTATTTCCAGCATCATTTGTGCCTTGTCTTTCTTTTTCATCACAAAGGCACCTTCAACAGCTTCATCCAGTCTCAGGGACCTTGTCTGCCTTTTTGCTTGAAGACCATGAACTCATTAATAGTTTCTGAGTTATTCATCCTAAGGAATTCAAATTCTATCCTTAGGTTACTTGCATTTGGTTGGTCCTTTCACTTCCTCGCCCTCCTAATTCTTTTTCAAATCTCTTGCCGGTTTCACAAACATCATCTACACAAATATGTTCTTGGATACAACCATCTGAATGAAGGAATAGCCTTTAATTCTTTGTTATTTCCTCTGCATGGTACTTTCATTTGAGTCATAGGTGGGTTAGTTCTTAAGGGAGGAGAATCCTCATAAATTATCACAGTTTTCCACAGGTCCATTACCTTTACAAGACCTTCACCCTAATAGCCGAAAGCTTATTGCTTTTTCCTAAAGTTCTGAAGTCGCTTGCGTCTGATCGCGATGAAGGCGACTGGGGGAACTCGGTGCAGCTGATGTGCAAAAGAGAGTTGTGCGTTGCTAGACCAAATAATATGGTCGTGTCTAGTGCGATGATAGGTTCCAGTCAGAAGCCAAAGTAAATTAATAAAAAATTTCTATTCGGGTGAGAATAAACTACAAGATTTTTGATTCAATAATTGTCTGCCTTACTTGCTGCTTGGGAATAGTTTAAATACATAAAAATATAATCGCAAACTCCTACTTTTAAGCAACTAAAGATAATGGAGGAAATGGGATAGTGCAGCAACTGCTTGTTGATCGATTCCGCCGCAACAGCTATTTTATCCCCCACGTTTTGTGACTGAAATATGCAGCTTAACAATACTCCCTCCTTTTTTAGGAATCTTGTCCTCAAGGTTCAGATGGCTGAAATTTTTCTCGCAACGCTGTAGTAGTTTCCCATGTGGTATCTTCCTCGAGCATCTTCTTCATT